TTTTTTTTTTTTTTTGTTTTTTGTCTTTTTTCCGTGTCCGGCAAGGGGTTCCAAACCTCAGTGTTGCCCCCGTACCGGACCGGGTACCGGCAACGGGATCGCAAGCCTCGGTGTTGCTCCCGCGCCTCGCTCAGCCAGCGAGCGGGAACCGGTCTATATGTGGGATCTGAACCCTCGGGCGGGAGCGCCGCAGCGCTTCCCAAGCGGCGCACTATCCAGTGCGCCACCGGGCCGGCCCTTATCTTTTGTCTTTTTGATAATAACCATTCTAACAGGTGTAAGGTAATATCTCATTGTTTTAATTTGCATTTTTCTGATGCTTAGTGATATTGAGCATTATTTCATGTACCTGGAGACATTTGTATGTCTTCTTTTGATAAATGTCTGTTCAGGTCATTTGCCCATTTTTAATAGGGTTATTTGTTTTCTTACTATTGAGTTCAGTACTTTATATATTTTGGACATTAGCCCCTTATCAAATGTACATTGTGCAAACATTTCAGCTCACTGTGTGGGTTGCCACTTTACTCTGTTGATTTTTCCTTTGGCTGTCCAGAAGCTTTTTAATTTGATGTAATCCCATTTATCTATTTTTTTAACTTTTGTTGGCTCTGCTTTTAGGGTCATATCCAAAAAAAATCCTTACTGAAACTAATGTCCTGGAGTTTTTCTTCTATGTTTCTTTGGGAAGCTTTACAGTTTCAGGTCTTACACTTAAGTCTTTAATCTATTTTGAGTTGATTTTTGTATATGGCAGGAGATGAGGGTCTCACATTTTTTCTATGTGTGTATCCAGTTTTCCCAACAACATTTATTGGAGAGACTGACCTTCTCCCATTTTGTGTTCTAAGCACCTTTGTTAAAAATCAATTGACTGTAAAAGTTTGGGTTTATGTCTGGGCTCTCTATTTCACTTTTTTGGTCTATGTGTGATTTTTTGTTTAAATGCCGGCACCATGTTGCTCAATTACTATAGCTTTGTGATATGTTTTGAAGTCAGTTAGTATGATGCCTCCTACTTTGTTCTTTTTGCTTTTGTGGTTTCATATGAATTTTAGGATTGGTTTTTCTATTTCTATTAAAAATGTCATTGGAATTTTAATAGTTATTACATTGAATCTGTGGTTTGCTTTGGGTAGCACTGACATTTTAATAATATTAATTCTTCCAACTCATGAACACAAGATATCTTTTCATTGATTTTTATCTGCTATTTCATCAATGTTTCATAGGTTTCAGTATACGGGTCTTTCACTTCCTTGTTTAAATTTATTTTTAAGTACAGAAGCTCCTTGACTTACAATGGGGTTACATTCCAATAAACTCATCTTAAGTTAAAAATATCCTAACTTGAAAATGCATTTACTACACTTAACCTACCAAACATAGCAGTATAGGATATAGTGAATCTGTATCACTTTTGCACCATCTTAAACTCAAGAAATTATAAGTCAAACCATTGTAAGTTGCGGACCATCTGTATTTTATTTTAATTTATTTTTGGTACCTATTATGAATGGGATTGTTTACTTGATTTCTTTTTCAGACGATTTATTATCTATTTATAGAAACACTATTGATTTTTTGTATATTGATTTTGTTTTCTGCAAATTTAATGAGTTCATTTATTAGTTCTAACAGTTTTTTGGTGGGATCTTTAGAGTTTTCTCTATTTAAGATCATAGCATCTGCAACAGAGATGATTTTATTTCTTCCTTCCCAATTTGGATACCATTTAATTATCTATCTATCTATCTGTCTGTCAGTCTGTCTGTCTGTCTGTCTATCTGTCTATCTATCTATCTATTTTGCCTAATTGCTCTTGCTAGGACTTCAAGTACTGTGTTGAATAGAGAGTGTACTCTCTTGTCTTGTTCCTGATCTTAAAGGAAAAGCTTTCAACTTTTTACCACTGAGTATGATGTTCACTGTGGGTTTGTCATATATGACCTTTGTTGTGTTGAGGTTTCATATTAACTATTTTAAGTGTACAATTTAGTGGAATTAAGTGTATTCCTATGTTTTGATAGTCATTACCAATATTCATTTCCAGAACTTTTCATCATCCCAAAATGAATACATATCCATTCAACAATAACTCCCCATTCCTCTCTCTTCCAGCCCCCAGTAACCTTTATTCTCTCTGTCTCTATGAATTTGACTATACTGTGCACTTCATACATGCAGAATCATGTAATATTTGTTGTTTTCTGTTGTGCTAGTTTTATTTAGCATATATTTCCAAGGTTTATTGATGTTGTAGCTTATATCAGAATTTCATTCCTTTTTAAGACTGAAAATATTCCATCGTATGTATATACTACATTTATCCACTCATATGTTGATGGACATTTGGGTTGTTTCCACATTTTGGCTATTGTGAATAATGCTGCTTTGATTGTACAAATACATGTTGTAGTTCCTGACTTCAGTTCTTTTGGTTATATACCTAGAAGTGGAATTGTTGGAGCCTATCTAATTGTAATTAGTTTTTTATTCTGTGGCTTCCTATTAACTTGTCAGCTTCTTGACATTAGGGATTCTACCTTGTTCTTCTTTATAAGGTCTGGGTGCAGTACCTGAACATTATAGAAATTGGACTTTACGAGTGATTTTATGAGAATACGGAAATGGAGGAAGCATCTCCCTGCTCACACAGTGAGAAGTCTTATGACAATAGTTAGGGGTTGCTGGAATCTAAATACCTATTGCTTCCTCTAAGTCTCCTCAGTATGGGCCCTATGGCAAGTAAAAACATAACTACCAGCAGTGATTCCCCCAGTATTGGTCTATTTCCTAAATATCACAAATTATTCATTTAAATAATTGAATTCAACAATGTGTGATCTGATTACCACTCTCACTTAATTCAAATCCCATGAAAGCAAGAAGATTTTTCCTTTTTGTACTCTAAGTATATCAGTGGCTGGCATATACCAAAATGTATTTGTTACATGAATGAATCAATTTGTAAGTTTATAGTGGCATTTTCATATGGAGGAACTTCTCCCCTCTACTGCTATATGAGGAATCCTTAGATGAAATGTAGAGGATGTTGCCTTCTTGTTCTTGAATTATTAATCTTCCCTGGGATCTTGTAACATCTCATAAAACTAAAGTATGATATCATGACCAGGATGTCAGCATTGATAGAATCCACCAATGGTATAGTAGTCCCCCCTTATCCACGGTTTCACTTTCTGAGGTTTCAGTTACCCTGGGTCAAACTCGGTCTGAAAATAGGTGAGCACAGTACAGTAAGATGTTTTGGGAGAGAGAAACCACATTCATGTAACTTTTATTACAGTATATTGTTATTATTGTTCTATTTTATTATTATTATTAATCTCTTATTGTGACTAATTTAGAAATTAAAATTTATCAAAGAATGTATATACTGTGTAGGAAAAAACATAGTACAGATAGGGCTCAATACTATCCATAGTTTCAGGCATGCACTGGGAGTCTTGGAACATATTACCTGCAGATAAAGGGGGGCTAAAGTCAGAGTTTTCTAGTTTTACTTACACTCAAGTATGTGTGTGTGCATGCATATGTGTTCTACACACATTATTACATATATAGGTTTGTGCATCCATCAGATTCAAGATACAGAGCAATTCTATCACTACAAGGCTCCCTCTTATTGCCCTCTTATAACTACCTTCACCTACCCTACATATTCTATCCCCATCCCTAACCACTGGCACATGCTATTGTGTTCTTAATTTCTATAATTTTATATTTTCAAGACTTATATAAACGGAATCGTACACGATGAGCCCTTTGAGATTGGCTTTTTCTTTCTACTTAGCATAATTCCCATGTGATTCGTCCAAGTTGCTGCCAGTATCAGTAGTTCGTTACTTTTCATTGCTAAGGGGCATTCCATGGTGTAGCTGTTCCATAGATTGTTTAAGTATTCACCCTTGAAAGGCATCTGGGTTATTCCCATTTTTTGGCTAATACAAATAAAGCTAGTATGAACATTTATGTACAGGTTTTTGTGTAAACATAATTATTCATTTTCTTTGGGATAAATGTCCAAGAGCCCAATTGCTGGATTATATGTTCAGTTTTGTAAGAAACTGCCAAACTTTTCCAGAGCGGTTGCACCATTTATGTTTCTGCCAACAGTGTCTGAGTGATACAATTTTTCCACATCCTCACCAGCATTTGATATTGTTACAATTTTTAAAAATTTTATCTGTTTTAATGAGTGTGTAGTGACATATTGTTGTGCTTATGATTTGCATTTTCCTAATGGCTAATAATGTTGAACATCTTTTCACCTGCTTATTTGCCTGATATTCATGTTTAAACTGACTTCACCTAAAAATATCAGGAGCATGAAGGACAGGAGAAATAGAAATTTCCTTTGAAGAATGAAACCCTTCCAAATTTTGATTTCCAAAGCCAGTCTTGGATTGAATAGAGAGCTGGCTATTAGCTCCATTGTATATTAGAGTTCTAATATTTTTTTTTCTAAAGCAGGGACATTTTAGTCAAATACAGTCAGCTGTCATTATAGCAGCACTCCTCTGGACTAGATACTTTTTGTTTGTTTGTTTCAATTCTGTGGTAGGAAACATATCCTAATTTTAGGCATCCTTTATGATTTATCACTGTTATACATTTTATTTGTAGATTCTCTGATTGGCCTCCTTAATTTGCAGTAATCTATTCATATGCTAAAAGTGCACTCATTTTCTGTCTCAGTATATGTGTCTGGGGACATTTATTTGGTATGAAAAGTAAATTTACAGATGGATTTTTGTTTTATTTTAGATTGCTTTGAAAAAGCTGTAATGCTGTTTAGTTTCAGAAAATAGCTAAATGCAATTACCTTCACATTTTGTTTTCTTTACAAATAACCTTTTGGTATACCTCCTTCAAATGTTTTCCTCTTTTCTTTAACAGGTTGATTTAGTGAATATTGGAAGCACTGACATAGTAGATGGAAATCATAAACTAACTCTTGGTTTGATTTGGAATATAATACTCCACTGGCAGGTAAGAATCCTGATGAATGTTTCCTTTGTGGGTAACATATTGCTAATCCTTCTTTTCATTTTTGCCCTTGACCTGCAAAACCAACATGCATATCTCTAACAATACCAAGCTCATCTCCACTGTGCTTCCTTTTAAATTGGCATAACTCATGTCATCTGTGATGTTAAGCATCAGGAGCTTATAAAATAGATCCTGACACACTTGAAGGAATATTTTTCTAAGTTTTGAATGAGGCAGAAAAGACAATGTCCCAACTATAGTTTAATACAAATATTTTTCACAAATAAGTGTGTTTTATAATGTGCCTATAGGTGAATCTACATATTTTTGTAAAAAGAAAGGTATTTTTTTTTCTTTTAATCACTATCAAAGAAATGAGCCTTTGTCAATCTTGTGTATTCTCAATGTAAACTAATGCAAGTAAAAAATAAAATTAGCAGGATGAGAGTATCTGGATGAATATGTACTCATATGTTACCTACAAAAACTCACTTCATAATCTGATTTGGAAATTGCATATTTTTCCTGAATCACTTGAGAATGGGGTCTTCTGAATGTCTACATTTACTTGACCTCTGAAAAAAGAGATTGAAGATCTTTTGGTTTAGTGAAAAGAGTATACATATATTTTTAGTCAGACCAACATGAGCTTAAATTTAAATTTCCCCATTTTCCATCTTACAGGCATTGGGTACAATGCCATCCATTTCTGGGCCATAGTCTCCTTACAGTCAGAAGAGAAAAATTAAAATTAACATGTATATATTTCTTATCAGGATTAAATGAGAGAACATCTGTAAAGCACTCACAACAGTACATTTTTGTTTGAGGTGTATCATATGAATAATATTGATTGCTTAAGGTTTTCCAATCATATTCTAAGAATTTGGAAAATACTTGAGATATGTCTGCCTTTTTTACTAGCAGATTACTTTTTTATAAAGCAGCTTTATTAAAATATAATTTTATGTCACAAATTTACTTATCTCAAGTATAAAATTTAATGTGTACCGATCTGGTTTTATTCTGTTGCTCAGTAGCTTGTCAAACTATCTTGAAGAAGGAACAGTTTCACCTTGCCTCAATCTACCTAAATTTTTAGGATACTTAAAGAGTTGTACAACCATCACAACAATCTAATTTTGGCATTTTTCTACCACCATAAAAGGAAATTCTTTGGCCATTTATAGTTATCCCCTATTCCCATTCCAGCCCTATGCAACCATTTATCTATTTCTGTTTCTATATATTTGCCATTTTGGACATTTTATATCAATGGAATCATTAAAATATGTGTTTTGTTTGTTTGCAGGCGTTGTTCACTGAGCATAATATTTGAAGTTCATTTTATATTGTAGCAGGTATCACTGTTTAATTTAGTGGAGTTGACATTTAACTTGAGTTGTAGATTGGTCTTGCTGAGAGTCAGATAGTGTGTAGACCAGAGGTGTGCCTTCACAGCTCAGCAGCCCTATTGCTTTCCCAGTTGGCCTCCATATCATTTTATTCCAAACACAATGAACAGGCTCAACTCTGTGTCACAGCAATATGGGAAAAGAGAAAGAAAGTGAGCAACCATAACTGCTGACTTCAGAGATTAGTTCATAAGTGCCTCAAGTGAGCCTAAGTTGGCCAATTTTCATTCCTTTCCATACAGTGTAGGTATCAAATAGATCCAGCAAGGCAACATACATCACTTACTATCAAACTGGTTTATTTCTATTGATCTGTACTTCTCAAAATATTTTGAGGAAGGAACAGATTTTTCCCTAATCCATTGTATGTAAAATGCAATAAAATTGAAGCATTATGAAAATTAAATAAGAAACACAGGACCTAAGCTTCCTTTTTATTACTAAATGTAACAGACATAAATAGTACTCTGTAAAATTACTACAGAAGTTTCTAATGCACTCTCAGTTGTTGCATTTATCTATGGCCTAGTACCAAATGGTTCATGGAGTGGACCCCAGTTTGCCAACCACAGTCTGATTGGTCCAGATGTTGGCTATGAAAAAGCCAGCAGGAAAACTCAGGCATGCACAGATTTCCAAAAGATTCTTTTAATTGGATTTATCATCAAAACTATCTCTCATATGATCTCACCCTTTCTTATCTCCCCAAAACCTTTCCAGCTCCATCTCAGCTCATTCCAAGATAGAGTTTAAAGACTATACTGTCCAAAAATTTCTTCATTTGCTTGTGAGTTGTTCATTTTGCTATTATTGGCATGTGGAAGAGCTTTTACACTCAGGAATAGTGGAAGAAATGCTTTTTCAGTCTTTCTTTATCTGAGACCTTTCATATAGCCTGCTGTTTTCCATTCATGTGATTTCAAGGATATAGACTCTTCCCAGACTCTGCCTAGTTTATCTCATCTCTCTCTTCTATCACACTCTCCTAAAACTACTAAACACAGTTTTTAAAAAATCCCCTGCTTAATTTTCCTCTTCATAACCCAGTGAATGCCAAAAGATATTTTCACCAAGATCACATATGTCCTCCTATTAAATAGTAGAAGAGGCCCTTGAATCTCAGCAAAGATTAAAAGACACTCTGGCCAACTTAATGTACCTTCCAGATTTATCAGGTTAAGAATGACATTAAGAGATGGAAAAATGTGTATCCTTTCTTCCACTGCCACATACTATGTTGTTAATAGTGCTGTGGAGGACTTCTCCTTGAACTTGTGAAAACTCAGTTTTGCCAACCCTATTACCCCGTCACCTGTTTTTCAATTTCCACTTCAAATAAAATTGTTAGCCTGAAAAATAATGTGTATTTTGAAGCATAGGCAGCTTTGAACAAAATTGTGAAGTAGACAACATGTGTTTGACATCCTTTTCTTCCTTCCTTTTTAAGTGCAAATCATCCTTTTTACAGTGGTAAACTTGGCTCTGTCAACCAGGTGAAGATAAAAACAAATTTTGCTAACAATTGTGTGCTATCATAAGTCAGGTCCCCACCTTTGCCGGATAAGCCAAGGGAAGTATTCAGTTCCAGGCCTAATTCACACTGCAATCTTTATGTTTTGTTATTTTCACAACAAACAAGAGAATGATGATTTTTGCACTGCTGAAAGCCCTTCCTATAAACTCCTACCTAGCTAATAGCTTTTATGGAAGATAGTTCTTGCTTTGCTCATCTGAAGAGCTTCATACAATCTATCCTTTCCTTTCAGATTATTTCTACCTTTCTTTACCCTTACCTCTCCACTGCAACTCCTTCTTATCACAGGTTGGGTTCTGGAAAGTAGACTTTGAGATTGAGTTTACAGGCAGCATGTTTACTAAGAATGTCCTTGGGACCAACACCTATGGAAGGACGGAGGCAATAGAAGTGGAAAGAGGAAGAACTAGAGCTGTGATGCAGACCCAACAACCGGTTTATTCAACCCCATGGGGAACTTGGAGCTAAAATGACCCTTCATAGTTGTCCTGCATAGAGTCAGAATAGCTGAGTGTTTCTACCACTTTCCTTCATCGGTCACCAGATGTGGGCTACCTTTGGAAGGGTGTGACCTTGGGTGACAGAAATCTACAACTCGAGTAGTCCCTGATGGAACTGACAGCTGGAGGTCACCTGATGACAAGCCCTTCCTTGAAGGAGAATCATGGTAGTGCTTCTCCATGTCCATCATACCTTCTTTGTCCAATTAACTCCTAGATAATTTTTAAAATCATTGCTGAGACATTTCATTTCTTTTCCTTTTGAAATCATATTTGTAGCTGTATGCACACACTTATTTCTTTAAATTGATACTCTCTTAGGGACAGTAAGACCACAGGTGGGAACATTTTCTGCTTACAGTCTCACCTTTAGGACCAGCTCAATGATTTCTTGATACCTTTCATGTAGGAAAAGAAGATATGATTATTACACATTTCCCTTTATTTTTTTCTCAACAACATTTGCACCCAAGTAGAAGCAATACCAATGAGGCTGAGGCTGATAAGCTGAATTAGTAGCATAATGATGCTAAAGGAGTTTTGGATTGAATGCTGTGTTGTACTTTAGCATCATGCACATGGAGGGAAATCAGGATAAGCATTTCACAAATGAATCCCATTCATCATTTGAGGGTTGCCTGATTAGTACAAGACCATGATCACCAATGAGCTACTATCAGCTGATTCCAACCCTGGTTTTGTACAGGGTCATGTAAATAGTACAAAGTAAACGTCCTATAATCACTGTACCTGGTGGCTGTGCACTTAATAATTTTAGAATATTATGAGAAAAATATATACCTTACATAATTATTTGACCTATTTGCTCTCTGAGTAACTGACTAAATAATCAGGTCAGGAAAGAATTAAGAAAACTGAATAATCCCCCTGTAAATAATGGATATAGCTATCAAGGGATCATAAGAAATATATTCAGATATTTTATATATTCAAATTATTACCATATTTATAAAACATCATCTCCAATCTTTATAAAGTATTTTAAAATTGGATTTAATAGTGTATCCTAAAATTTGCATTGAATCTTTCATAAAAAGTTGACTAACATTGGAGATTTTAAAATATATATTTACCCCAAAGGCATTTGTTAATTTTTACGTAGATGAAAAACAAAATAAAATGTTATGTTTAGACTACACAATAAATATTCATCATCTGATCAAATGTTGATAGCATATGGATCTTGTACTTTCCAAAGGAAAGCCCTTGGTGGTAAAAATTAATCACATTTACTTATATACTTTCTTCAAGTATTGCATAAGGGGCCCGATATATTAAAGAAGTAGCCTATTAAATATTCTTTTAATAGAATATGCAGTTTCTTCTATAATGAGGTATCATTGCATTCTTCAAACTTAGAAAAAAATGCTTAGAATAGATTTATGTCTCAGATTAGTTAGAGGAACGGAACTTTGAAATAGCATTTGCACATGCACAAACCTAGGACAGAATCAAATGTACAGAAACCAATTAGTGAAAATAAAACCATGGCCACACGTTTACAACTCTTAGGGGTTAATATTTCTTTCCTTTATTTTATTCAATTTTTGATCATTTAAAAAATTTTAAATAGGCAAACATTTCCACATTTTTTTCAGTGCAGTCAATAAACATAACTTGAATTATTTTAAGTTATGGTACAAACCTAGTGGTTTTATTTTACTATAGTTTGAACTTTGATTCTTCGAACAACTTTGTATATCCAGATAAGGAAACTGAGGCCCAAAAGGCTTAAGTAACTTTCCCAATTAACACAATTAGTTAATAGAAAAAACTAAATTTGGGTATAGCTTTAAAAAAATTCTCTTATCCACTGTGCTATTTTTCCTCTCCAAAAATCACTGATATGTCTTAAGTCCTTGGTTTAGAAAAAGTCTAATGTGTTGTACGTTCTCTAGCCTATCCACTGAAAGCTAGAGGAACAGCAATTCTAAAAACAGTAAATTTATAGCTTAGTGTGGCAGAATACAGGGATAAGAATAAACATATTCAATAATTGGTATGGCATAGGCACCAATCAACCAGAATAGACATCTAATCAATTAGAATGGACTCAGTTCTGGTAGAATCTATTACTTCTCATTACTAATTGGCCCGAAAGTTTCTATTATTTATCACTGAAGATCAAGGACATTCATATTTAAGTTTGCACAGTTCTTGTTCGGTGAACACATTATCTTATGAAATTTTTTTTTCACCTGTAGGTCAAAAATGTAATGAAAAATATCATGGCTGGATTGCAACAAACCAACAGTGAAAAGATTCTCCTGAGCTGGGTCCGACAATCAACTCGTAATTATCCACAGGTTAATGTCATCAACTTCACCACTAGCTGGTCTGATGGCCTGGCTTTGAATGCTCTCATCCATAGTCATAGGTAAGGAGACTACTGAGATGTTAAATGATCTTTGTAGGTATTGATTTAGACACTGATGATATCTTTTTCCTTAATGTGATTCCAGATCATTTCATACAGCACAACATGTTATGTATGTTAACCTTATTGATCTGTCCATTAAGATGAACTGATTAATAATATTTTCCACCTTTTTATGTAACATATTTTGTTGTTGAAATACTAATGTTGCTGAAGCATCAAATTGGTTATTGTAGGGGGAGAAGGTCAACATATTTGAAATTGGGACTCCCAGAAAATCCAGGCTGTATTCTAACTTTGCTGAGAATAGGGTTGGTATTTTTGTACAAATAATGTGTTTATGTGAGCCTATAGAGCTAAAAATGGTACCAAATCTCAGGTTAATGGCTGTAATAAAACTAACCATCATCAGGTAGATAATGTGGCCAAAGAAACATTTGCCTTATCAGATAAAGACCTAGATAGCATACACGTTAAGGCCCTGTATATTTTCTTCTGGTTCCGGTTTATACGAGGCTATGAGCATCTATTCAACAGTGACAAAGAGCAGAACACAATTAATTCTATGACTTGCTGCTCAGAATATCAAAAGAAACAATTGCTCTGGAAAAGCAAAGCAATTGCTTTTTAGCAAGAAATTCTTCTGTGGATCTTCATAAAAAGAACTCACAGGAATATAGTGAACAAAATGCCCTTCACTGTATTCCACACAGTGTAGATTATCTTTTCTTGCTTTAATTTTTGCTTCTTTGCTACCATTTCCCTATACCAATCTTGCTTCTAGAACAGCTCAGAATATAAATTTTCTTCATGGCAAAGCTCAGTCCAAGAGCAAACACTCTACGTAAGTAAGTGTGTTTGTCAGGCGTCTTGCTCCAGCTGGGTTTAATTAACCCCATCCAGACTGGGTTTCCAGGTGCATGACTCACAAACCTGAATTTAGAAGGGAGGCAGACTGGCACCCAATTGGCATGTTAAGCAATGTTAACACATTGTTTTTCATAAGTATGACATGAGAAAAATTTTCCACAGCTTCAATACAGTCAGATGAGAAGGGAGAGATGTTCATTCTGCATCAGAAGTCAGTGCTCATTTATGCAGCCACATGCTTCACAGTACAGGCCAGATTGTATTGATCTTTCTGTTCAAGTACACATTTGCAGATGAACAAAAATATAGAGGATCAGGTTATTATGGTCCTTGTTGCCTCTTTAACATTTTTTCTTCATGTGGAAGACTTCAATTCTGCAAGCATGTGCATACACTACATTTGATAATATTCTATTCTATGATTTCAGAATATATGGAGATGATACAGTCAACATATCCAGATTGCCCTCCAATGTCTGTCCCTGACCCACTCTTTCTCTCTCACGTCTTCATTTACACTCATATATTCTCCCTGTTGTATTGAACTATACATTACACATTACATGGTTACTTTCAAAGAGGTTGCTCACGGTCGTTTAATGCTCTTCCATGAATCATCCCCTCGCCTTCTTTGACAGATGTTCATATTGTTTATCTAAAAAAATATGGTTGGACTTTCTGTTCCAAGTCCTGATTTCAGTAATTGAGTGACTAACCTGTATAGAACAAAGTAATGTGCTTAATATAGAGCATAGGAATTGACAAAGGGCCTTGGAAATTAAAAGTTTTGTGTTAAAACACAAAGCCCATTATAATGCACTTGAAAGCCAGATTCTACTTTTGTGGGAAAACCCAATAATGATTGATTAGCAATATGCTCAAAATATTTAGATAGAATTATAATAACTATAAAGTTGAAACTAAATTCTCTTTCTAATTCCTTATTTTAATTTATTAACACAGAAGATAGTTTAAAAATATCAGACATCAGAGCCAGGGGCAAAAAAACAAAAACTAAAACAAAAACAAAATATATGTCTTTATGACTCCAAACTTATCCCATCATATTCCAGTTCTTAAATACAGTTACTATCTGCTACTTCTACTTTTTTTCTGATGGTTATCGTAATATGTATTACATGTTTTTATTTCTCAATAAATTGATTTCTGATAGTATAAGTATTTACTCCTTAATATGAAGCCCATAGATGTTACCTCTCATCCCAGCTATTTTCTAATCCTATTACTTACATTATAATAATTTTACTCATAACTTTACCTTTATTACTTTAAATAATATGAGTGTAACTGTTTTGTCTTATTCTCATAAAATTTAGGAAGAAACTGTTATCTGATATGAAGGATAAGGAAATAACCACACTTATTTTTACTTTCTCCTCTTCTCCACCTCCCATTTCGTTATATCATTATTCTTGCACTAACATTTCCAACATTTATATCTGTTCTAAAAGGGTAAGTGTTCTTGGATTGATTCTGGAAATTGATAATACATTACTTTTCTTATATAAATGTGAGTGTAATTAACTTTAGAACAAAGTAATAGAAGCTAATGTTTTTAAACAATTATTATTTTGTAGACACTGTTCTAAGTAAAATAGCCCATCTATTTCACATGACATAGATATTATCATTATCCCCATTTTACAGATTGGGAAAATGAGGCACAGAGAGGTTATGTGATCTACCTAAAAACATTTGACTAATATGTGGTAGAGCCAGGATTTGAATTTATGCTGTCTTAGTCATGATGTTGATTTCCTTAAAAGCCTGGTGATCCTTGGTTGCATGTTTTTATTTATAAATTATGATCTAGGGTAGCATACAAAGCTCTGTGTCTTTCCTCTACAGTTGTTTAGTGTTACAATTTTTATGCATTTGAAAACCATAGATATTTAAAATGTTAAGTAATTGTGATTACTTAAAACAAATTTATTTTTAATGACACAAGTGACCTCAAAGGCCATTCAATACAGTCCTTTCTTAAATGAGAATGCTGAAGCTAAAAAAATTACATGACTAGGAAAGATTACCTTACACTTAGGTGGTTAGTTAGTAGCAAAGGAGAAGGGGAAGGAGAGGAAGAAACAAGGTTAGAATGCAGAAGTTCTATTTGTTTTTTTTCATCATACTCATTTAACTTTGTTTACTGTACTGTAGGTGAGAAAGCTAGTTTCCCATATGCTCCCACTTATATATATATTTTTTCTATTCTCATTGTCTAGAGACAAAGAAATGAAGACGGGACAGAGGTTGCATGGTGAAATTAAAACTTTCACATATAGTCTATAATTTAATTTTTATTTCTTTTGTTCTTTCCACCACTAGAGTCATTTCCCAATTTATAAATATTTTAGGCTCCAAAAGATTGTATGTTAGCTCTTTGGGGTAATTTGGAGTATAGTTTAGATTTTCCTAGTAAGTGTACAAAATTCTGGTGTATTAATCAGGGTAGGAGCAATTAAAGCAAGGAAATGAGAAACAAATGAGATATACATTTGTATTTTTATTTTGAATTATGGTCTTAGAAACCTACCCTTGTAACTTCTCTTGCATGAGTTCTTAAGCAGGAGTCTATTGACAGACCCAAATGTCCTGAAATTGTATGCAAATTCTATTTACACATGTGGATAGGTATATATGTGGGTAGGAGTTTCGTAAGTCTCATCAGATTCTCAAAGGTGTCTGTGATCAAGAGAAGGTGAAGAAGCACTTTGCTAATGATTTTCAATGTTGTTGGGATGAATTTTAATTCCTTAACAGCCAAGGCCTTATGAAACTCATCCCAATCCCCTCTCCTAACCATATCTTCCATCATTTGGAGGCAGGCCTATAAGGTCTTCATTACCTGACATGTTCTGCTTTTTCCTTCCCTAAGAACTTTGATTCTCTAATATTCACAAAACTTAGAATTCTATTCACAGATATTTTTCTTAATCCAAACCCAAGCCACTATTTAAGATTCCCTTAAGCCTCAAAAAACTTTCTTCAGATTTCAGAAAACCTTATATTTTATTTGCCATATTTTTTCACATTTAGATTTTAATCAACTTATTATAATATATGTATTTTTCTTCCTTATTAGATTTAGAATCCTTATAGGATGAGAACTGCATCTTGTACTCTTTTGTGTTTTCTCTATTATCAAAGAAAATGATATACATGTAGTATGTGCTCATCTATTCTCTCATGTAGTTGACAGATATTTATTGTGCCCCTACTATGTATTAGACTGAGTTTCAAGCAGTGAATAAAATTGGCAAAATTTTATATTCTACATTCTAGAGGGAGAGACAGATAGAAAGATGATTAATTAAATTATAAAATATGTTAAATAGTATTAAGAGCTATTGAGAATAATACAAAGTATTAAGGGGAAGTAAAATTTGTATGTATAAATTTGATTTGGGACATGCAATTTTAGATAGGGATTGGCGTGGGATGAACTCACTCATGATGTAATTTTTGAGGAAAGATCTAAAGGAAGTGGAGGAATGAGCCATGTCCATATATGGGAGAAGAGAATTCCAGGCAGAGGAAACAGCAAATTCGAATGTAGAAAACTGTCTCGCCTGTTGTGGAATACGAGAAGAGATGCAGGAAATAAAATCAGAGTCAATGGGGAGCCAGACTGTGTTAGATCTTGGCCTTGTAGATCACAGTTGAATGTATGATATTTACTCCCCTTATAGCACCGATTTAAAAAGAAGGATATGATGACACATATTTTAAGAGATCACTCTGGCTGCCCTGCTGAGAATAGATTAACATGGGCAAGGGTGTGAGAAGAGGGAGCAGTAAGGAGGCTATTGCAATAATCCATGCAAGATAAAATGGTATTTTGGACTAGGGTGAGGATAGTGAGAAGTGGTCAAATTCTGAATACATTTTCAACTCATTGTTGTACGAGAGAGGAAGGGTCATCACGGATGACTAAGGGTTTTTCTCTGGGCAACTGCAAGTTTGAATTTGTTGTTGATTTTTGAGGAATGGAAACCTGCAAGAGAAGTAGGTGGGTTTTGGGGACTGTGGTGAGGATGAATATCAGTAGCTCTGTTTTAGACACAGGAATCTTGTGATGACTAACTGGAGATGTTGAGTAGGCAGATGAATCTAGTCTAGGGTTCAGGGAAGAGGTCTATGGTAGGCTTATATAATTGAGAGTTGCCAATAAATGCTTGGTATTCAAAGCCATCAGAATGGATGAGATTAACACATTTTTGTTACTTAGATAAAGTAGAATAAATTCTTCTCTCTTTTCTTCAGGATTCTCTTTTTTACCCCCAGCTTTATTGAGGTATAATTGACACGTAAAAGTTATATATATTTAAGGTAGACAATGTCAGGATGTTTAGAAATTTTAAATTAGAAATTTTATTGAGGGCTAATGAAAAACATTCAACTCTTAAGGATTATAGGAATGGATTTTCAATCAAAATTCCATGGAACATTCTAAATTGATTTATGTTTTTCTTTGTGTGTGTATGTATGTGTTTCAGGCCAGACCTGTTTGATTGGAATAGTGTGGTTTGCCAGCAGTCAGCCACACAACGACTGGAGCATGCATTCAACATCGCCAAATATCAGTTAGGCATAGAGAAACTACTTGATCCTGAAGGTTGGTGCATTTCTAGCCTACCACCATTTTTAGTACAGTTTAAAGTGCTTTTTTTTTTTTTGTCTCAGACCTGACATTTTTACATACTAAACACAAAATAGAAAACTATGTATCTTATGTTTTTCTATATTACAAGAATTTTTAAAATACTGTGTCTTCTTGCAATGTATTATTAATTGTCCTATTTGACTTTAGTTCTCAAAGTACTAATATCTAAAACTGAAATACAAAACTGGGGGGAAAAATGAAGCTTTTAAAATGTATATGCCTTACAGATAGAGCATTACTGCATTTGAAGTACATTGACTCCAAATAATTATAAAAAGTGTTAATGTTTTGCTTAGTCTAACAAGAGATTTGATAGACTAATCAGCTATAATTAATTAGCTACCCTTGCCAGTTTCATTCATGTACTCTATAAAAGGCAACATGGTTTACTATTTAAATCAGGAAATCTATTCCTGGCAATGCTTTTGTTATAATTTGGGACTCTGGGGAGCTATTCTATTAGATTGTTATTCATTTTTTACTTCTTTAGTTGACAGGCAGCACTGTATATATATTTTTGTTATATTACACTTAAATTACTTTCATTCTCGTTTCTGGTGCTATCTTACGAATGTGGGATACTAACCTTCCAGATACGTGAATTAAAGGGATAATGACATTCTGACCTCTGCTCTTCTTCTAGCCTATGAGGCATTTTTTTGTGTGCCAACTTCTTTGAAATTGCAGACTCTGTTCTCACTTTTTTGAGACCTTTCCTCACTCTAAAACAAGAAGATGGAGAGGCAGAGTCAGTGGGATTTATATCTGCAATATAATAGAAGCTTATATTTTGGTAGAAGGTGATAATTCGATGGTCTTTGGAATATTGAATCAATTCCAAAACAGGAGATCCTTGAGTAGTGGTGACAGTAGGTCCCATCAGGCAAAGCTGAGAAATGACTCAGAAGGTGGCCTTTTGCTGGTGAATTCATTTTCAACTGGAATCTAGTCTTCAGTGTTACAGAAACCTGATTGCCTCAGCTCATCTAGCAGATCCATATTGGGGGAAGGGGGGAGTAAATTTAAACAAGCTAACAAAATGACATATAAATCAGAATGGAAATTCAGTAATTTTAAATGAGATATTTATCACAAGAATCAGAATACTCATAGCTAATTGACCAATATGCTCTTGGTAAGCAAATGTACTTGGGAAGGCGAATTATAGCAACAGAAATGTGAGTTTGTGAGGTTGAAATCAGATTAAGTTCATTAGGAATGTTTCCTCTGCTTTGGATTAATGCATGGCTAAGCACTGGCTCCTGTAACCCCTTTTTGCTGCTTATGTAAATGATCCCTCCTGCCCCAGTTTTTAGCTCTAAGGGAGAAATTGTATTAATTGTATGTCCTTATTTTGCATCATAGAGGAGGGTCACCTCACTGTTGACACCTAGTACTGATTTACATATTTTTTATCTTACTGCAGTGAGGTAGAGAGTACAGACATAATGAAAATAGGGACTTCAGGCCCCAAGGATAAGAGCTACAGTGTACAGATTTGAAGGATAAGCCTGCTAGTATGTTTTTGATTGTCATTAAATCCACATATGGTGGTCAGTTCCTATTATCTGAGATACAGGCTGTATTTATTCTTGTGTATGCTCTATCCTTCCATAAAAGAGTAAGACTAGGTTCAAAATAGATCTTTTTCTTAAGTGATAATATATCTTTTGATCTCTAAATGCTCCTTTGGATCAATGGAATAGGGGTATCTAGATGAGTATCCACATCATGATCAAAAATTAGATTGATGAGCTTTTAATCAGAGAAAGGTAGTTACATGAGAAATATATTTTATAGTATAAAAGAGCCTGATATATCTAACTCTCTATGCTCTCCTAAACTGAAAGCATATTTCAAAATACACATCACATAGCCTACAGAAACACCAATATAATATCTCAAACTTGAAGCTTTCAAAATTAAGCAAAAATAATATGAAATATAGGTTGATTAATAGAGATTCAACCACAGGTTATGGTCTCATTTTGCCAGTAAAGTCTTAGATCTGAAAACCCTTTCTGTGTGGACTACCAATTCAAAGAGCATTCTGTCTCCTAAAAATGGTTTATGAAAGTTACTCATGACTGTCAATAGATGAGGATTCAGCATAAAGATTATGTTATATTTTTAGGTATCTGCCAGTTCATGTCAGTGTATTAGGGAAATACCAAAATATGCATTTAAAATTATTGCTCAGTATTTTTCAAAATATATCAATGGTGATTAATATAAAAAACAAATACTAACTAAATCATAAGGATTTTTATTTACTAATTTGTTAGTCACAAAAGACAGAATGCCTTCTCTTGAAATCTCAGACTTAGAAACTCTCTTCAATGGATCTAACAAAGGAGATTCATGGACTTTTTTCATGCCCCATATAGTAATTGCCTTTGAGAAGTTCGCATTTTTTATTTAACCAAATATTGGTTATGTAGCTTATGCGTGACTATATCAGCTATTCTCTAAAGCAATTTTTATTTCCTATCTTTTATGTCCCTTAGGAGGTTAATGAAACAGTTTGTTTTATGTTTGGGAAGATTTTTATTATTGAGGGACTAAAGCAACATTTGCCAAATAATGTTTTTAGAATTTTAAACGTATGCTTTGTTGATTGGGTTGATTTATTGTTTAAAATGTCAAATGTTGGAGATTTTTATGTCCTGCCTATGTAGACTTTGTTATGCTTTGTTTGGCTTTAACTGGTGTTTTGAGGCCTGAGGTTTGATTTTAAGTGGAATTGCCTTTTAAAATTAGTAGCAGTAGGCATTAGCATAAGCAATTTCAGGAGCTATGTCTAGTGTGTTTAAATGTTAACATATGCAAAAATAAGTACATCTAAGGCAAAATTATTTAATAATTTATGCATCTTTATGTTCACAGATATAAAAGACCTTCAAAATATATGCTATTGTGATCAGAAAATTCACTTCCTATCATGATTTCTTTATATATATTGTACATGCATTGTGGTTTTCATATACATTGTTTGCTTCCCCGAGTTTCAAACAAATTGGTTTGTTTCTCAATCCACAAAAATGCAAAAAGAAAAGCAACAACAACAAAAAAAAACTCTATTAAGAGAGTGCTTTGTCAGCATTTCCTTGTGAATAACAAAGTGAAGATGTTTTCTTTAAAGGAATCAAAAAAATCAGGGATAAAACATGCCTATTCTAGATGACTTTTGCATTTTACTGCAGAAAGCCATTTCCATTTGTGATATGCAATATGACATGGAAATGCCCTTACTTTTTACCAGGGTAACTTTCAAATGAATGATGACAGTCAAATTTAACTAACAAAGAAAAAACACTAGGACTTGGGAGAAGTTTTGTATCCTCAAAATGACATTTACAAACCGATTAGAGTTTGGTTTTAATCCACTTCATTCTGACTTCATGAGGATGGTGACACAGATTCTATTTTCTGCTTGGCTAGCCCCTGCATCACTATTCAGTTGTTTTTAGAGTCTTGTTTTCCGAGAATTAGCTCTGCCTATTGGAAACGTTTTCTCCTGAAGTAGATGGCTTCAGACTTAACTTTGCATGCATGCTGGTTTCAGTATCTAAAAAAAAAAAAAAAAAGAAAGAAAAGAAAAGAAAAATAATCAAAGAAAGATACATAGCATTCGCTATAAAAGAGAAGGATATCTTTAAGACCTCTTCTTTGGGGTTTGATATCAATTGTTTGAGCAAGGTCTATGTTTATTTTCTTCCATCTTTGTTCCAATAATCACATTTTGATATCATAATGGCAAAAAATGTTAATAAGTAGTTGACATAAGTTAAAATTGAAAGGGTGAAATACCAACTCAGAAGCATTGACATTAACTTAAATAACTAAGATTTTTATAAACACAGACACTCATTTCATATCATTTAGATTGACATTCTTTCCCTAAAACCCATTGTAGAATACCTTTGTTTTCAGAAAATATAATGAGGTTGGAATATATTGATATTCCTTCTATGTAGAGCATTTCAACTACAAATTATTACTGTCAATATCTCAGATTCTTTAGAGCCAAACTCTTGGCAGTGGAAAATGTTCTTTTTTCTCTATATTTGTAAAAATATGTCAATAGTACATATGTAAATAAAAAAGGCCATTGCCTTCTTGATGACAAAGTAACCTATACAAAGTATATATTGCTTTGTATGCAAAAATACTTTTTTGTATTATTGATTTATATAATTATCTCTGGCAAAGAGTTATTAGAGATGTTAAAAGTTGTTATCTAAACCTAAATTCTGAGTTTCTTGGAAGAACAGGTTTTAGTCTGTTATGTTACTCTGCTATGGAAAATAAAAGGTATCATCATCTGCTTATGCAGATATGGTAATAGCAAAATAATGTTTTTATTATATTAGCAGGAGACAACTTTTTCCAGGGTTTGTTTTTAAAAGAAACATTAACATTTGATCGTTAAAACCAAATTATATGTTTTAATACTGTTAAATGTTATAATAATGAAAATATTTCTTTAATTTTGAAATTCAGTGGATTGCAGTTGAAATGAACAAATTAGAGATGGCATTATTGTATTAGCAAAGGAAAGAGGTACATTAGTAGATTCAGCATTGCTATCTCATTTCCTTAATGTATATTCCGTACAACCTTAGCAAAGGGATTTAGAAAACACTATGTTAAATAATTTAAATGTATACTTTTATTAGCATTGCTTAGAGCAGAGACTAGCATCGTTATATAATGAGGCTTTAGAAAAACTGATGGCCCATGTAGAAATCCAGAGAAATGTGATTAAATTCCTAGATGGTATATCATTGCAGCAAGGGTACTTATTAGAATACCTTGACTATTTTTAGGTTTTGTCCTTAACTTATTTTTTTACACTTCTTTTATCCATCACCAGACATATCACATAACTAGCTTTGAGTATTGACTGCCACTTTAATATACTTTAATACAGTTGAGATAAAGAAGACTAT